CCTGTGATATCCAAGAAGTTACCTATCATTTCCTTACTTGACCTTATCCTTCCTTGATTCATTAATCTTAGTAATTCACTCTTTTGCTGTTCCTTCTCTTGGTGTTAAGCTTGATTGCATCCCAGGTAGATTGAACCAATTCTCTCTTGTTATTAACCGTGAAGGGGTCTTCTATGGACAATGTTCTGAACTGTGCGGGGTGTTACATGGATTTATGCCTGTGGTTATTGAGGCGGTTTCTCTTGAGCAGTATTTGGCCTGGCTCTCTGACCAAATTTCCCCCCTATTTAACAAAGAAGGTTCTATCTTGCCCCCCTGTATTTACTTATGTATTACCCATTTACCTTCGGTTTGCTAGGCAGCTGCCTCTAAGGAACGAATCTTGGCCTTGTCGAACCTGCAGGCCGCAATAGACCTCCTTTGCCCCTCGTATAACATACTCACTACTGGCGGCGGGGGGGATCCAAAGGATCCCCCTCTGAAGCCCCTAAGGCCCCGGGGATGCTTTTAACTACCCTCGCTTGGGCTCAACAGCTAGCGAGGAGAGTAAGGCAAAGCTCTCGGCTGCTAATTAGGGGGTAGGTGGGCTTATCTGAAGCCCCTAAGCATGGGATGTTTGGTAAGAACCACAGCGAGGAGAGCAAGGCAAAGTTTAGCGGGGCTAATAATGGTCAATCTAAACCTGTGCCTATATGACGTTAGTCACTCATCCCCTGTTCTGCTTAACTATTTTCATACTACTATGAGGCTTCGGTTAGCCAACCGACAATCTCTCGCCGCATAAAACGGGCTCTTTGAATTCGACGGTAGACAATGCCGTGTATCCTCTTGGGGCCCCCTAAAGCCAGGGGATCCCCGGTTATCTGAAGCCCGGGAGCTTAGAGATTAATGCGACTCGCCTTAGAATCAACCAAAATGATAACGAGTTTGTCTTCCACCTTTTTGGTCTTTTTGAGTATCTAGGCATTGTCGGAGCTACTCTGCTAATTTATAAGCGAAGCGGGAATTCTACTACTTCTTATCAGTTTTCAACCTACACTCTGCCGATCTTTACTGAACTCCATAACTCTGGTATATACGGAAAGATGGTAAGAACATCAAACTCCTTCCTTCGGATATTGCTGATCGTTTAACTCCAATACCCCTTGCTTATTGGATTGCGGGGATGCCCATTATCTTAAAAGAGATGGATGCATACATTTATACACACATTCCTTTACCCTTGTCTTGAACTCCTACGGTCTATTCTTTTAAGTCAATTTCATATTGAGTCTACTCGCTGCTCCGCTGGGGGTGAAAGGTAAAGACCAGTATATTACACGAATCCCTAAACGAGAAGTTCCCCAAAGTGCAGTCACTGGTATCCGTTCAAATCCATCATTCAATGTGTTACCGTGTTGGGCTCGTCATGCCCCTTTCTTCTTAACACTTAAATACCATCCCCCCTCCCTTTACTACTGGTATCATCAAAGGAACGGCTATGTTGGAATGGTAGACAAGCGTGACTTAGGTTCTCGTGGTAGATATACCGTGTGGGTTCAAATCCCTCTAGCCGTATTGGGGGAGATCCTCCCCTTATCAGTACAAGTTAGAAAGAAGGCAACGACGATACCAGATGGTGTAAAATAGGTGGCCTAAAGCGGGCTTCTCTGAAGCCCCCCGGCTTAACCCAGCCCTCTGATTACATCTGCTATCCTCAAATGGATAATTTGGGGCCGTAGGCGAAAACCCCCCCTTAAGTATCCCCCTGAGGATGCCCAACCACCAGCCAAGTTCACTATCTCATCACTCTCATAATCGGCAGGGTGCTGGCAAAGAAGGCCATTAGGCTATCCAAGGGGGAGCATTACACGAGTAAAATCCAAATGGGGGGGCTCATTGCCCAATCCGAGCCTATGTATCAGGTACTCCGGATCCGAGTTGCCCAGCAAGTAGGGAAGTTTAGTTTAGTTTATCCTTAACATAGAAGGATGAAAGAAAGGGGCAAGATAGAACGGAAGCAATCCATAGAACAAGACCGAAGGCAGATAACCGGTTCTATCTTGCCCCCCCGTTAGAGTGGATAGTAGAATCAAGAACATCACCGAATGATTAACACATTAACCAGCTTCACTGTATCAGGGCAGCTAAAGGATTCGGTGGCAAAGCGGAAACCTGTTCTGTTCTACCAAACTTGGACTATCCTATGGTCTAAATAGAACAGAACAGGTTTAGGGGAATTTGAAGTAAGAAATGACAAAGCTAAGGGGAAAAGCAAGCAAGGTTAAGGAAAACCAAAGGAAAACAACGCAAACGAGGTGACTTAAGTCACCGGGAGCTTTAGCTCCCCGAAGCTAAGGGAAGGCAAGCTAATCAAGGGTAAATGAAAGAAAGAAGGTTATCAAGCAGAAATAGTAACCTGAGAAAGAAGGCAACGATGAAACTAGATGCAACTAAAGGCAAGGGGGCTTCAGCTCCCCGAACCCCCCGCCCTAATGGGCCCGGTCAGTGCGTATCGCTTATGTTTGCTCCAAAGCTGAATAGATGTGGCCCCAGGCTCTGTCACCATCTCAAGGAACTGCTCAAGTGTATAAGGGCCTTGTGGTGTCGTGTTATTCTCTGGACTAGTGCGATCTTCGGAAGGGTTGGGATGAAATAGCGAAGTTAAGAACCGAATAAATATCAGAGCAATCAGAAGGGAAATGAATTGTTAAGCCTGGGATAAAATCAGGCCAACAAGCGGCCAATAAAGATCAAGCAGAATACCCATGGCTTGTTGAATCCAATCATTCAGCTAACTTCTTGGTTACAGAGGGTAATTTAGGTTTAAACCTAGTATGCTTCTGAGCAAATTCAATTATCAATAATTAGCAACATACTAAAAAGTCTCTCTAAGAGATACTTTCCCTAGTAGGCGGCCCGTAGGCCCGGGGGCCAAACCCCCGGGCATCAGGGGGGAATTTTAAGGTAAGATATCAAAGGCTACTAAAATAGAAGGGACAAGAACAACTAAACCAAAAAGAATAGGTATTAAGCCAGCCCAGCAGAGATACATGAGCTGATCGAACCGAACCCGTGGGAATGATGCGCGGATCCAAATTAAAAGGAACAATAAGAAACAACTCTTGACACCTAGGACCAAAGATTCTAACACAGGGGAAGTGGAAATGTCACCAGGAAGAAGGTAACCTCCTAAGAAAAGAATAGAACTTAAGACAGATATCAGTATCATGGAACCGTATTCCGCAAGGAAAAAGTAGGCGAAGGGTAGAGCCGAATGCTCTGTGAAAAATCCCGCGACCAATTCTGACTCAGACTCAGGGAGATCAAATGGCGCTCTATTCGTTTCTGCAACAACAACCATTACCCATAATACCCAGATAGGTAATAGTGGCACAAGGTACCACACCGGTTCCTGAGCCTCGATGATGTGAGATAAGGATAGACTCCCGGGAATAATCACTACTATTAATATCAGCAAGGCAAATGGTAGCTCATAGCTAACAAGCTGAGCAGTGGATCTTAAGGAACCTATGAAAGCGTATTTTGAGTTAGCAGACCAACCGGCTAGCAGGACTCCATAGACTCCTAAAGAGGATAGGGCCATAAGGTAAAGGAGTCCAAGGCTCATATCGGCAAGGGGAGATGCCTTTGCAAATGGGATTGGTACCCAACCCAACAAGCTAAGGGTCAAGGTGATGAAGGGTGCCAAATAGAATAGCCCCTTGTTGGCCTGGCTCGGTAATACAGATTCTTTTACTAATAGCTTCAGGCCGTCGGATAAAGGTTGGAGAAGCCCGTAGCTCCCCACTTGGTTAGGTCCAAGGCGACGCTGCATTGAGCCCATCACCTTACGCTCAGCAAGAGTTAAGTAAGCAATACTCCCTAGAAGAGGAATTACTAAGATTAATGAATCAAGGAAGGATAAGGTCAAGTAAGGAAATGATAGGTAACTTCTTGGATATCACAGG